CTTCTTCCTGTTTCTTTTGTTTCATTTTTTCTCTTAATTTATTCTTCCTATTTCTTGCTTGTTTCTTTGTTGTTTCTATATTCTTCATTTTTTTGCTTTATCTTCTTCCTATTTATCGTCCTTTATTGCCTCTGCTGCTTTCTTTGCTGCTCTTTCTTTTACTCTTTCTTTTTACGCTTTTCCATTTCTTATTCCTTTACTTCTTCTACATCTTCCTTCCTCCTTTTTTGTCATTCCTTAGTCTTTGTCATTATCTTCCCTTTTTTTCCGTCTTCTCTCCTTTCATTATTCTCTCCTCTTTTCTTCTCTCATTTGCTTTCTTCTCCTTACTGTTTCTCTCTCTTGTTTTTTCCCTTCTTATTTCCTTTATCTTTCTTCCCTTATTTCCTTCCTTTCTCTATTGTTATTTAGTCATTTCTTTTGCCTTGTCCTTTATCTTCGCGTCATTCTTCGTTATTTGTATTCTACGCTTCATTGTTTTTTTCTTTTTCGCTTTTTTTTCCTCTTCTCTTCATCTCTCTCTCTATTATTCTCTATATCTCCCTTTTGCTTTCTCAGCTCTTTTCCTCTCTTCCCTTGCTCTTTTACTTACTGTTGTCCTTATTGACTTAGTACTTTTCATTTATTCTTATTTCTTCTTTTCTCTTTTCTTTTTTTCTTATGTTTTGCTATTACTTTTTTGTTTACTCCTCTGTGTTGACTTGTTACCTCCTTTCTTTTCTTCTTTCCTTTCTTGTCGCTATTCTTCTTTTGCTCCTTCTTATTTTATTCCTTTTCACTTATTACTCTGTCTACCTTTTTTCCATTTTTTTACCTTTTTCATTACTCTCTTGCTTTCTTTATCCTGTGTCTTCCTCTCTTTTCTTTTTTTTTCTTTCTTACTACTTTCCTACTTGCTGCTTCTTGTTTTTTTTCCTTTCCTGTTTTCTGGTTGTCTCGCTTCCTCCTTTTCGTCTTTCTCTTTCTTTCTTTTTCTTTTCCTCTGTCGTCGTTTCTTGTTCTCTTTTCTTAATGTCTTTTGTTTTCTCTTTTCTTTCGTTCCTTATCTTTTGTTTTTGTGTTTGCCTTGCATTCTCTTACTTTATTCTATTTTCTTTTCTGCTAATATTCCTTTACCTTCCTTCTTCTATTTCTTCCTTTAATATCTCTATCTTTTCCTTATTCTGCATTTTTTCTTCTGTTTAGCTTAATCTTTCATACTTGCTTTATTTCTCTTTTCTATACTTTCTTTTCGTCTTTTCCTTTTTTCTTTAGTCCTCTTTTTCCCTTGTCTTTTTCTCTCGATCCTTTATCATTTTCTTGTCTTTTTTCTTGGTTTCTCTTCTTTTTTTTCTTTCTCTTACTTTTCCTTTATACATTATTATTATTCCCCTTTCCTTTCCAGTTTCTTCTATTTATTTTTGTCATCGATGTTGTCTTACTTTTTTTTGATTGTTCTCACTTCTTCTACTTCTTTACTTCCATCTTTTTTTTGTTTCCTGTGCTCTCGTTATTGTATTCTCTCTTTTCCTTCTATTTTTCTTCTCTTTTTGTTGTCTTTACCCTATTTTCTCACTGCTTCCTTCTTTTTACTTCTCGTCGCCTTCACGTTTCTTCCTCTTCTATTCCGTGCTGCTCTTTTCCGTTTTGTTCCTCTTTGTTCTTCCTTCTTACTATCCTTTCTCTTTTCTTCTCTCTATTCTACTCTCTGCTTTCCAGCACTTTTATTTTCTTTTTTTTGTCGTTTCTACTGCTTATTTGTTGCTAGTTATTCTCCTTCCTTTATTAATTCTTCCTTGATTTTTCCATCTGTCTCACGTCTTATATTACCTTAACCTTCCTTCTTTCTCTTCTTTCTGACTTTTCTTTCTCTCTTATTATTTTCTCTTGTTCGTTTTTATTATATCTTGCTTCCTCTTTTTTCTTGTATTTCTCTTAGCTTATTGGCTTCTCTATCTCCTGTCTTCTTTTTTCTCTGGTCTCTTCCTTTGTGTTCTCGTGATTTTCCTTTCTTTTGCGTTGTTACGTTTTTTTTCTCATCTTTTTCTATATCTTTCTCTCCTTTTTTTACGTCTACTCTCTTATCCCTTATTCTGCTTTCTTTCTATCCTCTTTCTTTCTTGTCCCTCTCTTTGATTTCTTTTTCTTCCTGCTAGTCCTTTTTATTCTTTATCTCTTCTTCTTCCCAGCTATCTCCTTTATTCTTTTCTCTGTTTCTCTCTTTGTATTCTTGCTTGCTTCTTTATCTTTTCTTTGCTCTTCCTCTTACTTCTCCTTATTTGTCTTTTCTTTACTCTTTTTTTTCTTCTTTGGATTCCTTCTTTTTGCTTTGTTTTCTTTGTTCTTTTCCTTTTTTCTTTATTGTTCCTTCTTTCTTGCTAATTTTTTTGTCTTGTTTTTGCGTTAATCCTTTTTATCGCTTTGCTTCTTGTTTCTGTTTTCGTCTCTTATCCTGCTCTTTTGTTCGCATCTTCTTTCCTTTTTGCTTTTGCTGTTTGTTCTGTTTTATTCTTTCTCGTGCTCTTTCTTTTGCCTCACTTTTACCTCCTTTTTCCTCTCTATCTTCATTTTATCCCTTTTTTTCTTTCTTCATCTTGCCTATGCTGTCTTCCTTTTTTTTTCTTGGCTTCTTCTCGTTTATCTTGTGCATTCTGTCGTCGTATCGTTCTTTTATTATCCTCTTTTTTCTTGCTTGTTGATTTCTTTTCTTCCTTATTTTTATCTTATATTTACTTTACTTTCTTTCTTCCTTCATACCTATTTCTGCTTTTTTTCTCTTTTTCTTCCTTTCTTTGACTTTTTTTTTTTCCTTACTCTCTTTTTATATCGCTTCTTCAATTACGTTGTCGTATTATTGTTTACTGTTTTACTTTGTCTTTCTCGTCTATTTATCTTTTTCCTTTTTATCTTGTTTTTTACTAATTCTTTCTTGCTGTTTTGCTCTTCCTTATCCTTTTTGCTCCTTTTCTCCTCGTTTCTTCTTTTATCTTGTTCTTCCTTTTCGCTTTCTCTTTTATGTTTTATGTTTTATTGTTCCATCTTATTTGTGTCTCTCTACTGCTTTCTTTTTTTTACTATCTTCCTCTTTATTGTTGTTGCTTCTCTTTCATTCCTTTTCTTTCTTCTTCCCTCTTCATTTTCTCTCTTGTCTTTTCTGTCCCTCCTTTTCTCGATTATTTTCCTCTCTTTTCTTTTTGTTTCGTCTCTCACGCTTTTCTGTTCTTCGCTGTTGTCCTTTTTCTATTTTCTTGTTCTTTTCTGTATTTCTTGTTCATTCTTCTTTCTTGCTTTCTGTGTCCTTTAGTGTCTTTTTTGTCTCTTTTCGATTTCGCTTTACTTCATTCTTCTCTACTTCTTTTTCCTGTCTCTGTTTTCTCGTCGTTTATTCTAATATCTCCTTTCCTATCTTCCTTTTTTCTTACTTTTTGTCTTTGTTTATGCCTTTCTTCTTTCTTCCCTCTTTCTTTACTTTGCTTCTGTCTCTTCTCGCTTCTCCAGCTTA